GGGGGTGTTAGCGGTGCATTGTTGGTGGGGTGAGTGACCGTGTGTACGGAAGGGTGTGGTTGTGGGGTCTGCAGGTGTGGTAGGGTGTTCATGGAAACCTGTGTGCCCCCCCCGAGCTGGTCAGCACCCACCCCTGCCCCGCAACAGTTTGGAGACCATGCACCCTGACACAACTCCCTACCACTGCCAACACCGAGCAGCACCAGTACACCCCACACCAGCTCCAGACTCACTCCCGCTGGAGGAGATCAGCTAGAACATGGGCATAGCCCTGCCCCGGCCTGCTCCACACTGCCTGCCTGTGGCAAATCCTGCCACTGCCACCTGGGCTGCCTAGTAAAGTCCCAGCCAAGCTGTACGCCCAAGTGTCACAGCTGGACAGTGCCTGGGCCAGGCAGGACCAAGGGACCTGCCACGGGCCAGATATGGCCCACAGGCTGCATTTTGCCAACCCCCAATGTAGACTCAAACATTTTCTATGGTAGGGCCACATTTGACAATGCACAATTTTTACTGAATTTAGAGCTTCTGAACATTCTGACAAAGGAGAATCAGTAGAAGAAAAATTTGAACTTGAAGATGCAACAGCAACTTTTTCAGCAAACAGGGAAGTTTAGAACTGGAGAAACTCACTGAAACAGCAGCAACTCTGCGAGGCTGAGTCACTCCAACTACCCTCCCTTCGGCCGTCCAGCCAGCTTCTGCTAAGTACTGCAAGCATATTGGAGACATGGAATTAATTAGTTATATGAGGCAATTATCTAATTTTTGGAGCAAACTACTTGACGTTTGGACTCCTGAGATTTATTCTTGGTTCTAACATTGATCTGTATGATCTCAAATAAATTATTTAATGAGTGCATTAGTGAACCCTACACCTCTACAGTATACCTAAATAAACAAATATATTACTATAATCTATTTTATAAGAGCATTAGCAGTTAGAAAGCACTTCAAGAAATTCAGGTAACAGGAACTGCAAAAGTGCAAAGTATTGTTCTTTAAATATTTCCTTCCCTCTTTGTTTTGTAGCCTCTACCCAGTAGGATTTTCTAAATTTTAGTCAAGTATTCACACTTGAAGCAGGTAATATACCTCACTAGCTTTGCTGATATGTGGGATCTGACAAGTTAATTTTACATTCTTGACCAATCATGATTTTTTTTTTATCAATACCTTATATTGATCAATAATGTAACGGAAAATGAAAAATGCAATAAAAACATTAAAAATATCCTCCCAAGTTGATACAATTCTCTAGGAATGGAGCACAGTAAATAAAAAAAAACAGAATTATGAAGATCCTGACTGAAAGTTGTCTCTCATTTTAAATAATCTGAAAAGGTGATAAATTTAACAAATACACATACAATAGTCTGCCACCTAGTTAAGAAGCTGCATTTTGTAAGATAAATCGATGGCCCAACTCTGAGCCAATAACTGATAGTGCAGAACATGTCATACCATTTCAATGCCAACTTTCGATTGATTATAGGTATGTTCCTCCTCTCTCTTGGACTTGCATACAATCATGGCTAGTCCCTATACTACAGTGCACTATGGTGACATCTGGGGTGGCTTCCCATATAAAATATGAGAGAATACAATTTTACCAAGTTATAATCTCACTCACTTGTGGAATCTGGGTGGTTTTGCCACATCCTGTTTCTCCAACAATCACCAGAGTCTGATAGTTTTCCACCAGGTACAGTATGTGATTTCTAAGCTGGACAGGAGGAAGACATTCAATTTTGCACAAAAGAAATGTAAATAAATATCTAAGAATGATACTTATGTACATGTAACTTGTACATAACAAGTTACATGTAACTTGTATATGTAACATGTAACTTACTTATGCCAGTAAGTTACTGTTACTTAGCTTTTTGACAGCAAGCTCTAAACAACTTTTAAGTTTTCTAATAAGATATTTTCATAAGGCACACAATAGTTGAATATAAATCTGCATAGTTTGTAATAAAAGACAACAAAGTCACCTGCCAACAACTGAACAAAAATGAAAGAAAATAAAAGAAAGACAATTTCCCTGACTTTGTTTTCAAGTTGTAAAGTGATGATGGAGAGAGAAAATCAGAAACAATGTATAGAAAACAGGCATCATGCAAGATATGTGCACATCAAAAAGTCCTTCCATACCTTAAAAATTGGCAACTTTTGTCTCTGTTGTTCAACAGAAAGGGAAGCATAAGGATTATAGATGATGTTTACACCGTTAATTTCAGAAGTGCTCTGTCTCTCCTCTGAGATGCTGACACCAGGACCTTCTGTGCCTATATACGACAATTTTAATAGGAAAATGATAGAACATTCGCCTTCACAGTCTACGTCAGGCAAAAAAACTTTTAGGGGAAATGCCTGACTTAATGAGCTATTAAGCACCTCTAACGTTATCAATTTATTTGTTAACCTTAAAAAAGGAACTTTTCAGGTCAAGTGTAGATTTACATTTTTGCTAAAGAGCTAGATCTCTGAATCTTCACAAGAAAAGTAAGATGCTCCAGAAAACAAAAAATTGTGAAAAACATATAAAATTCTTGATACTTTAGTGACTCTGTTCTTTTCACTTTAAAGAAAGTCACATACCCTATTCCTCAGTATATTTCCCAGTATACTATTCTACGACACCTCCCACCCTGCCTGCTTGAGAGGCATATCGCTCACTTTGAACCTAAATTTAGCTCAGAAACTAAAACATAATGCATTCCTCCTCTAGCATACTACAAAACTACTGACAGCTGAAAATGTTGAATCATGTGAGTAAGGTTAGAGTGGGGAAAATTCCTGTGAAAGGAATGATCATCAGCAGTCTCCTGTGATACTCAATTTGAGTGCATCACAGATCCTTCTGGCCACATCTACTTCAGGGCTTAAACTGTATTCTTTTAAAACAACAAGGTCCTAGCCACGCTGCCAGGAAATCTTTACGTTAATTTAAACCAGTTTAAAAAAGAAATTAAATATAGTTCTAATAACAAAATGAATTATGCAAACAAGTTTTTAAAACAGCAGTGGATCATAATATTTGGTACTTGCCTACTTGAAAGTTAGATGATACCTCTGAACATACATACATTCTCTTTGACAGTATGCTTATTTTCATAGTATATCCACAACACAGCACATTAATACATGCACTCACGTACATATGCTGCAATTCATTATATATATAAATTCATTCATTCACCTACATGTACTGCTCAACTGCTCACCATATTCATAAGCTGTTGAGAAATGAATCTTGATCCTGGAACAGCTCTTTGTTCCAGGACACACCCCAGGGTAATTATTTGGTTTAAATAAACAATTCAGACCCAGCAAGTCTCACTGACTAGGTCTAATTCCTTGTAGGGGGATGTCATGTTTTTGCTGCCACTATTTGAGGCACAATCCCCCAAAAGTACATAACAGATGTGGGACAAGTGTGGACTTCATACCCCCTGGACCTTCCCCATCCAGGAGAAATTCAGGACTCAGACCAGCAATTCTTAACCATCGCACCCTGGGGGGCTTAGAGATCCTTTCAAAAGATCGTAGCGTTACCACATTAGGTATGCAAGCATGATTCACAAGATAAACCCAGAGAGTTCAAAGAGGAATTCATAACGTCAAAAACATTGTACCCTCTTGCGATCTTTTTGGGATCTTAGCAACTTTTCTGTTGCACTATTGTTTTGCTGTCAAAAAATGAGTGGAAACCACGCACTAGTATCTCCAGAGAGTTGCCTCAAGCTCTAAAAAACTTGAAAAAACCACTGCCCTAAACAGCAGCTGCGAGTGAGGCGAACTGCCCCTTATGTCAACCACCCGCTGTTAATTCGGGAACCCAACGACAGCTCTCGACACTGCCCGTGTCCGGCTGATGAGACGGGTCTGACCCAGACCCGCCAGCAGCAGGACGCACGGGGCAGTGGATTCCCGAGCGAGCACCACAGCAGTAGCACGGTTTGATTGACAACCGCGATCCACCCGGTGACCCCAGAGGTTTCAACTTGACATCTGGGGCTGGGGTCTGTCTTAGCTCTATAGGCAAAAAAAAAAAGAGTGAAAACAAGGGGCTGGCAGCTTCCAAGGGGGGAAGGAGGCCCCTCACGTCCAGAAAGGCACACAGGTACCCCCTGCCTCTTCTCCCCTCTTAAACCCCGCAGCGCGGCCGGGGCTAGCAGTGCGGGGCCGGGGCCGGGGCCAGGCAAGGCTGTGGCTGGCGGGGCCCCCTGCAACGGGGGCGGTGACGGGAGCTCCTCAGGGCACGTGGGAACTGAGCCCGGGGCAGGACACCGCCCACACCACGGCGGCGGCATCGGGGCGCCAGGCAGGTGCGTCCCCACGGCCGGGGTCGGAGGAGGCGCGTACACCCGGGGAAGGGGCAGTCCCGGGAGCCCGGCACGACGGGCCCGCCCGTCGCGCCCGCCCGCGAGGGAGGCCGCAGCCCCGGCC